GGTTCAGACCGCGAACTTGATGGAGAGGGTGGGCAAGGTAGTGTCATGGGAGAGGAAGAGGAGGATGCAGCCAGGGGACTGAGTCATGGTGAAGAGGAGAACCACTCGGGTGAAGAGGACCCCCTAAGTGAAACCAAGTCTCAGGAGTCTGACAATAACAAGCAGAGTGGAGAGCTGAAGAGCCGTCTGCCTCACAAAGGAGAGGAGGGAGACCGGACAAATGACCTTGGTGATGAAGCGTCCTCTGTCACCTGTGAACTAGATGAGCATGAGTTGGACTATGATGAGGAAGTTCCCGAGGAACCAAGTGCTGCTGCTGCAGAGGAGGATGGTGAGAAAGCTGCTGGTGAGGATGATGAGGAAGAGGAGAAAGGAGATGATGCCCATGAAGATGAGAAAAAATCCAGCAGTAAAAGTGACGATGAAAAGGACGGCCAGGATTCCCTCAAGGAGAAGAAGAAAGAAGAAGATGATGGAGAAATTGATGATGGAGAAATTGATGTAAGTAAGAGCTAGTCCGAGGTGGGCAGAGTCCTGCAGGGAGAGACCTGTCCTCCTGTTTCAGAACTGTTTGGCTCAGACTGCCGTGCCTTCTTACTGCTTTGACCTGAATATCTGTGTTAGCTGTGTCTCCAGTGTGCGAGTAACACGCTTTTTCTTTGGGCTGGCGGGTGCTTGGGGCATCAGGCGTGGGTGGGAAGCCCGTGGCCCTGAGCTGTCCGTCGGGCTCCAGCGGCATCGGGGCGCGTGGAGGAGGAGAGGAGCGTGCTGGGCTTCGTGGAAAGCACCCAACCAGGCAGCCCCGGCGCGTGGTTTGGGTGAGGTGTTCAGGGATGTGCAGCTGAGTAGCTGCTGTTTCACAAACGCAGCCATTTAGAAACATCGAAAACTGGGTTTAATTGCACCGGTAATTAGGGCAAATAGCACTCTTTATCCATGTTTGCCGTTAGGTGGGAAGCACTGCGGTACAACAGTTGTGTTTAATACCAATTCCCCTCTTGCAGGCAGAGGACAACAGGACAAAGTGGTTCTAGCAGTAGAGCAGAAACCCTCCTGTGGGTTCCTGGTCTGGTGGACACCTTACTCGGGTCGGAATAGCGGGAGTGCAAAGCACTGCAAAGAGAAGCTGCTGGTCCAGAGCACCGGGCTGGCTCTGCTCCTGGCTGGCCGTGCCAAAGGTGCTCCTGCACAGCTAGACTAGGTTGGGGCAGTGTTGGGAGGGTATCCAGGTGAGGGAGGTGATTCTGCCCTTCTACTCTGCTCTGGTGAGACCCCACCTGGAGTCCTGCGTCCAGCTCTGAGCCCTCAGTACAAGAAGGACACGGATGTGCTGAAGCGGGTCCAGAGGAGGGCCACGAAGATGATCTGAGGGCTGGAGCACCTCTCCTATGAGGAAAGGCTGAGTGAGTTGGGGTTGTTCAGCCTCGAGAAGAGAAGGCTGCAGGGAGACCTTACAGCAGCCTTCCAGTACCTGAAGGGGGCCTATAGGAAAGATGGGGACAATCTTTTTGGCAAGGCATATTGTGACAGGACAAGGAGTAACAGCTTTAAACTAAGGGAGGGGAGGTTTAGACTGGATATAATGAAGAAATTCTTTACAATGAGGGTGGTGAAACCCTGGCCCAGGTTGCCCAGCGAGGTGGTTGATGCCCCATCCCTGGAAGCATTCCAGGCCAGGTTGAACGGGGCTCAGATCAACCTGATCCAGTTGAAGATGTCCCTGCTCGCTGTAGGGCGGTTGGGCTGGGTGGCCTCTGACGGTTCAGGTTCCATCCCAACGCGTTCCGTGCTTCGGATTCGATGGCTCTGCGCCTGTCCTGGTGACCAGGCAGGGACTCGGTGGGCTGTGGAAGGAAGGTGTCAGTGGTGCAGCCGCTCCGCCAAGGAGAGGAGTGTTCGGACCTGGCAGAGGGTGTTGCCTGCCCATCCCCGTTGCCACGTAGCTGACCTGGCCACGTGCTGGGGCAGCTGGCAGGGCGTCGCGGGAGGGACCCTCCTCAGGAGTCAGATATCATGTGTTTTTTCCTCCAGTGGTGCTTTGACGAGTCCTGTTGGTTAGGACGACACCACGTTGTTTTTTCTTCTTTGTGCCCATTCTGGTAGGTGATTTCATTAAGCAGTGACTTATTTTCCAAAAGTTTTGTGTGTTTCTGATTCAGTTAGGAGGAATGTCAGTGTGAGAGTTCAGGCAGGGGAAAGAAATTCCTGCAGTCCCAATTCCATGCCTGCTTCTTGATTAAAATATGAATGCTTGCCTTTAGAGTCTCAGGCATTCTTGGGAGCGCTTTCCTTACAAAGCACAAGATGAATCTGTACTCTGGTTTTCATACGTTAACTCATCGCAGGGTTCCCAGCTGCCGGATTCCAAGGAGACCTCACAGAAATAAATACTTTCCCTTTTGTTCGAGTGCAGCATTTGCAAAGGCTTCACACAGCTCTTTTGAAAGACGCGGAGTGGAGCTGCTTATACCACTCGCGCGTCGTTGAATGGGGGAAGCTGTTAAATCTCTACATTTTATTCCACTTTCAGAGTTCTGTCTTGGGGGTGAGATATTAATGCAAATTTTAATTTGAATATATGTGTAGTTTGTAAAACCCGCTCTTGTTCAGGAGAGCTCTCCTTATGTTGCCCTCGGAGGAATGCAGCAGAAGAGGCTGCTAACCTGTCTCTCTGCACATCCTTTGTTCATCTACAGCCAAGTGATGGTTTTTTCCTCCTTTCCAGCTGCTAAATTGATCAAAGTACACAACTTCCCCAACCTTTTCCCTGTAGACAGCTGCTGTCACTGCCACAGGGTTGCTGCGACTGCCGCGCAAGGGGAAGGCCTCCACCAGATGCTCGCTCCTCAGACGTGTTTCATGTGCTGAAACCTTCCGTGGCGGTGAAACGGGGGCAGACCAGGGAAGGCCAGGCTGCCTTTTAGGATAAAGAACTGATTTCCTGGCCAGATACCTCTGACAGCTCTCTGGTCACGTACGCCTTTGCCTTCTGCATCGCCACCTCTTGCTAGCTCCTTGTGACTTTACGGGTGCAGCCTCATGAAGCCAGGGAAGGTTCATTTTCCCTGGAGAACAAAGGCAAAATACTTTAACATTTCAAGAACTTTCTTCTGGAGGTGTTTCATGACTGTTATTTCACACTTATCCCCTGTGGTTCTCGGTCTTTGAAGCACCCTCGATCTCCCAGAATTTCTTCCTGGGGCTGCTGTGCCTAGGGATGATGCGGAGTTTTCTTTGAGCTGATTCACCACTGCTGTGTGGAGCCGAGGAGTAGAAGGGAAGGTGCCAAGCTGTTGCCTGAGAGGACTGGAAGAAAGATGGATGACTTTTTCCTGAAAAGCTTGTGTGTGAGCCTGTCGCTCAGCTTTCTGGGGAAGCATTTTATCATCAGTTATTGTCATAGCAGTCGTCCTTAAGAACTTCGTGTATAGATAGATGCGTGATGTCTGCGCTGGGTTATTGCATTAACGCAGGAATACTACTAGCTATTTTAAATCAGTGAGTAGAAGGAATTGGCTTGAGCTAAATAGGGATGACAGGACTGCTGAGCAGGGGACAACCCAGTTTAAGGGCTCCGAAGGGCAGTGGTATTACCCCGTGCCAGCAGAGCCGTCGTAGCTGTCGGTGTGCGTGCTGTTAGCCTGCGGGAAGGAAAGGTAAAGCAATTTAGCTCATTTGCCTCAAAAAAAGCACGAGGCCACCTCTAACTGCCTTGTGCATGCTGTTGGCTAAAAGCACACAGCGAGCCTTGTTCAGCTGAGGTCGAAGAACTTAATCCACTGTTGGTTTTGAGCCTTTAAGCATGGATCTGGTAAAATGACCCAGCTTGAAGCCTTGGTCTGTGGTCTGGTCTGCGGCACCCGGCCGTCCGGAATGCCCGAAGGGTTTTGCAGTCACCTTTGAAACACCGGAGCTGCTGCATCTTCCTGTCTGTAGCAGCACATGGGGTATTCATTGTAACTTTGTGTTGCTCTTGTGTTGTGCTCCACGGTGTGTCTGCAGTGACTGATATTTGACCACACTGTGAAATGTCAAGTCGCTGCAGAAAATGCACCGCGTGAAATGTCAGCTTGTCTGTCTGTTCCAGGATGATGACTTGGAAGAAGGAGAAGTTAAAGACCCCAGCGACAGAAAAGTGAGGCCACGTCCCACCTGCCGATTCTTCATGAAAGGTAAAGATGTGCCGTAACGGTGGCAGAAAACCAAAGAGGCTGGGATTTTTGCTGTTTGGTTTTGTACCTGTTAAGCTCCTGGCTACGTGACCCTCTTCCCTCTGAGGGTGACGGAGCCCTGGCCTTCGGCAGCAGGGTTGGACTAGATGACCCACAGAGGTCCCTTCCAACCCCTACTATTCTGTGATTCTGTGATAAACTCTGCCCCAGGCGTCCTCACTGTCACCTTTCTGTTCCTTGGTGGCCGGATGCCAAGTTTACATAGAGCCAATATGCAAAAATGGCTTTGCCCTGAGTATGGTGAGGCCGGTAGAAGCAAATAAAGGAAAAACCGCTGGTGTTTTTAAACAGCATGGAGTAAAGCTGCTTGGGCTGATTTAACAACCAGCTATTGCTTAGAGGTGATTCCGTGGAAAACAAAAATGACAAATACTCGTTATTTCTTACCAAGCTCATGCCTTGCCAAAACGTGTTTCTTGCAGTCCCATATCCGTCTCGCTTTTCCAGTTATTAAGACATTTGATGAAATTTAAAAATCAAAAGTAGGGCTAGAAATACTGTTTCCTGATAAGAAATACAGATGTGACATCGTGTTGACGCCTGCCGAGCCTCCGTAGCCCCTGCAGATGCATCTTGAGCAGGCTGCTGCGTTGCCTTTGTCGTGGTGTCTGGTGTTGGAGGCTCGCACATAGCTCTTTCCACAAGCAACCCAGAAACCCCAGCGAGACGGCGCGCTCCGGGGGTGATGCTGGCCCTGGCAGGGTGGGATGTGCGAGTGGCTGCTGCTTCCACTGGGCTGAGGAAGCGGTCAGCTGGGAAAAAATAATCTTCGTGTAAGGAGAAGCTTTCTCCTCAGCGTGGAAGGTTGCTCCACGCTGTATCAGATACCACATTTCTGAAATAGGATGGGATTGTCAGGCTCAGTTGGGGGGAATAGGGGTGGGAAATCGTAAAACATATTTTGTACTGCAGATGAGAAGACTTGAGATTTTTAAATTTAAACAATTGTATTTTTTATATTCTTAATAGGACATTCCCCAAAGTTTGTGCAACTGCACAGCAGCTATCTTAGACTATCCTGCAATTATTTTAGTGTAGAGAGTAGGTTTTATAAAAATTTTCTTATTTAAGCTGATTATAGGTCTCTTCCACTTTCTTCAGCTTCCTCTCACTCAATGTTTGCTCATTTACTTGGTTTTATTTACAATCGCCCTGCAAACAGCTTAGGAAAATCTGAAATTAAAAGCAGGGTGGAGAACAGGGTGGAGTCTCTCATTCCTTGCGTCGGCGGCGTTGGCAGCGCCGGGAACGGCTCGGGGGGTTTCCGGAGCCGTGACCGTCAGATGTCACATACCCGGCTTCCTGAACGTCTTCCGCTCTTGAGGTTTCTGCCCGTGCTGGGACGCGAGACACAAACGTGTTGGTGCTGGTGGTGGCACAGGGAAGTCCCTCGGCGAGGACAGCTGTTTGTTCCTGAACCCTTGGCGTGACGTACGCCTCCGTGCAGCAGGGAGATGTTTGCCGGGGTCGCAGTTCAGGCTGCGGGATCTCCTGCCACCGTTGTTGTGCTTTGATTTGGCGTGGGTTCAGACAGCGTTGACACCCACTCTCGCCCGTCCCTTGCAGGCTTCATTGTCACGGGGGACATCGGGCGCTGCTCGCCTCGGACCTTGAAGCCATTCAGGTTGTTGTCCTCGCTGTGTCTGAGGAGCACTCCTTGGCTGCATCTGTCCAGTGGCACGAATAAGTAGCTCACAAAGCCTTCCAGGGAAGTAGCTTGATGTGTAGCCACCTCGACGTGTGCAGCAGGGCCCCTCACTTGTCCGGGTAACCGTTCCCCTTGACACTTCAGGGTGTTTGCGTGGGTGTCTGGGTGCCGCTACACCCGCTGCTCGGGCACGGAGAAAGGATGTGTTGCAAAGGGATTTGGGCTCTCCTGGAGTCTGACGGTACAGAGCATTGGGTGTTACCTCTGACAGAGCAAACCAGTTCGTGGTTAATCTGGGGGGCCAAGCTCTTTTCAGTGGTGCCCAGTGACAGGACAAGGGGCAATGGGCACAAACTGAAGCAGAGGAAGCTCCAGCTGAACCCGAGGAAGCACTTCTTCCCTCTGAGGGTGCCGGAGCCCTGGCCCAGGCTGCCCAGGGAGGCTGTGGAGTCTCCTTCTCTGGTCCGGGACAATGTCCTCTACAACCTACTGTAGGTGACCCTGCTTTGGCAGAAGGGTTGGACTAGATGACCCACAGAGGTCCCTTCCAACCCCTACCATTCTCTGATTCTGTGATTCTGTGACTGATGAGGAGCGTTTCCAGGGACCCGGGTGCAGTGCGAATTTCTGACGTGTTGCCCTGCCAGCCGAGATCAGGGATTCCTCCTTGGGCCACAGCGGTGTTACCTGCTCCGTTGCCTCTCAAGTCAATGGGCTAATGCCCAAGCTAGCACAGAATTAGCGGTGACTTTGTGATGCAGGTGTCTGAATCACAGAATGGTAGGGGTTGGAAGGGACCTCTGTGGGTCATCTAGTCCAACCCTCTGGAAACAAGAGAAATTTCACAGTGAGCAGAGGTGGGCAACAACTGGAAGGAGCCTAAGGAGCTGGGAAACCTGCACACTGTCTGTTGCCTGATGTTGAGTGGAATGCCAGAGGGGGGCAAAAAAAAAAGGGTGCTGTTTCTAAGGCAAGCTAAAATAAAGTTGGGAGGTTAGTTGTTAGAGACCCCTGAGTGTGAGTGTCTCTTTGGGGGTGGTACCTGAAGCTGATGGGCAGATTCATCTGCTGCCTTCCATAGCGATGTCTCTCTTCCCGCTTCGTGCTGGCAAGCCTGCGGAGTCGGCTGGAGAGAAAACTTGGATGTACTCGATGCCTCACCAGAGAGCTGTTTGCTTTGAATGCACGGTGATGCTTTCTTTGCTGTCAGGTTATATTTATTGTTTTCCGTAGAAGGTAGAGCTCCTAATTTGAAGCGTTTGTCATTAAGAAGACTTGAAGAGTTCATAGTATTATTACTGCATGTGCTTAATGGTGTGTATGCATCCATCCCTCCCTCCTCCCCCCTCATTGATCCATCTGTGACTGGATCTGTTTGTCCTCTCTGGCAAGGTGAGGGGTGGCAAGCGTCCTTCCATGCGTATGAGAACAGGTAAATCTCAAGAAAGTTGGAGAGAAGAAAAGTCTCATGTCTGAAAGAGCATTATTCCTTGATGGCTTTTAAATGGTTGTGGGGCTGAACAAACGCTTGCTGCAGGGATATGAGATCTAACAGAACTGTATTTCCACAGGTCACTGCACTTGGGGCATGAACTGTCGATTTATTCATCCCGGTGTGAATGACAAAGGAAACTACTCGTTGATCTCCAAGCCTGAGCCGTTCTCCCCGAATGGAGCTCCTCCTATCGGCCCTCACCCCCTGATGCCAGCCAACCCTTGGGTATGGACAGCTTTTCTGGGAATTTATGGCTTCTGCACATAGCTTTTGTCTCCTGATGTAGGAGAAGCGAAGATTTTATTTGAGCTAGTACTTCAGCAAAATTCAATACATGTAGTGGATACGTGGTTTTTAGAAGATGGTCTTGAAGTTGCTAGTAGAGGGGAGTAATTTTCCGTGTGTGTCCCAGCTTATGTCCTGCTGACACGTCTCCGGAGTGTCTGGAGGTACTCTGGGGTAACAGTTTACAAAGCAGGAGTTTGCTACTTATAACTAATGCCAAGTGTCTGTCTCCTTCCTCCTCTCCCTTCTCTAACAGGGAGGGCCAGTCGTTGATGAGATCTTACCTCCACCTCCTCCAGACCCTCCAACAGAAAGTGCCTGGGAGAGAGGACTCCGCCACGCTAAAGAGGTAAAGGGCATCCTCAGGAAGCGTGCTGACTGGTGCCAGGATCCACTGGCCTCTTTCATTGAGAGCAGGGTGCTAGAAGAGCTCTTCTGGAGCACGTAGTGTCCTCCTCTTTTGAAGGAGCCTTCCTTTTTGCCTTTCAACCTGTCAACTGCACCTTCGTGTGTATCGCAGTTGTTATACAGTCAAGAGGAGCTAGCATCCAGGTTTATTTTTTTTATATTAACATGAGCAAGAGAAAGTTTGTGGTCCTGAAGTGGAGCCCTCCACAAAGCAAAACTTTTGAAGCTGATGTGGTTTCCCTTACTTCAGTACCTTTTTCTGTAGCACCTACGGGATCTGTGTGTCTGATCATTTCAGAAAATGGGGTCAGCAGGTGAGAAACTCGTATTGCCTGTCTGCTGCTGTTCTGAGCTGAGGGAATAGTGAAATACACTTTCTGTGTCAGGAAAAGGCCTGTGTCCTGCACATTCGTAAGACCTGAGCAGAAGGATGCTTTAGTTGAAGAGCGGGTTTCTCCAAAGTGAAGGGGCTTTAATACTGCAGTTTCTCTGTGCCTCAGAAATGTTCTCTCTTTACAGTGTTTTTACTTTTATTTTATGGCAGGTATTAAAGAAGGCAACTATAAGAAAAGAGCAGGAGCCTGACTTTGAGGAGAAGAGGTTCACTGTGACTATTGGAGAAGACGAGCGTGAATTTGACAAAGAAAACGAGTTTTTCCGCGACTGGAATTACCGCATCACCAGAGACGTCAGAGATCAGGCGTAAGATGCAGTCTCGTTTTTGCTGTGTGGATTAGATGGGTGGGAAGTGTAGTGCTGTATGGCAGTCTGCAGTTAACTTGTTCCCCTGGTCTGGAGGAACTCTCACTTCAGAAATTGGAAACAACTTCCATTAAGCAGTGTGTACGCCGGTTAAAATCTTGAGCTGCCTCTGCTCACTCCAGTCCAACGCTACCTTCCTTTACAGTCGTCTTTAAACCTTTCTGCCTTCGGTGTCGTTGGCATACTGGTCCCTCAAGGACACTGTCGAGCTGTGCATTGCCTGCCTCATGCCAGTGCTGACTTCTTTCCTCTTGTTTTTCGTATTCAAACCTGGGAGACTTTCAAAATGCCAAAGCTGAGGTTGCAAAGTTGGAGTATGCTGAGTGTCCAAGAGCCTCAGGGCAGCAGTCGTACTGTCTTGACCAGCTGCATGTTTATTTGCAAGGGCATTGGCACAGCAGCTGGTCTTAACAAACATCTTGATCAGTCCAAGAGAAACTCTGTTGTAAGACACTGGTCAGAAGGCAAACCTGTTAGCTGCCAGGGCACGGCCTGGGCCAAAGCAAACACCCTAAACTGAAGTGTTTCGGCGGTTTTTTTTAGGTTTTTTTAAAGGAGGTAAAACATAAAACGTTGGAGACCTCAGACACACTCCTGTCGTGACTGAGAGCGGGCAGAAGAAGGTGCAAGGATGAAGAAGCCAGCTCTGAGAGACTTGCTTAGTAGTACTTGAGCCAAGAAATGAAATGGAAAAACGGTTTTTGAGAGGCTTGTGTTCTGCAGGAATACAGGTGGATGTTTCTCACTTACACATCCTCTGTTCTTCCTGTGTGTGCAGATCATGGGTTATTTCTACTCAGAGAAAGAGTTTGCAGGGCTTGGTTCTGTCTGATTTAGAGTGGATGAACTGAAAAGAAAAAAATCTGAAAAGGGGCAGGTTAAGCTTTTGTTCAGTACTCTTTGATTTGCTCTGGAGTGCAGTTCCTTTCCCCATCTTAAAAAGAAGCCAGCTACTCAGTTCTGCAGACTGTAACGAACCAGTAGCCCCATATTAATTTTTTCCTGTGTAGGAACTGGTCTGTGTCTTGGAAGAGGAGGTTTACAGTTGCCCCTGGGACATATTCTCACCAGCGCTCTGCGGGTTAACCATATTAGTATATTTATTTTATGATGGTATACAAAAACTAACATCAGCACTCTAGTTGTGCTATGCCACTGCCTCCCTGATGTTATAAGAATTGTTTCATTAGGTACAGGACTTCTTGTTTTTTCATATAGTCAAGAACAAAGTGTATTGCATGTAGCCAGTGTTAAACAGAAGCAATGAAACAAATGGAATTCCTGAAAATTCAAGCACCTTTGTGTATAACCAGACGGTGGCATTAAAATATCTTCACTGTGTGTAAAGGTAAAATTTGCTAAGTTGCTGCTGCTGTAAACTCTAGAAAATGGTGATTTTTCTCACACACACGCACACTTGTTGCACAGCTTGACACCTCGCAGCAAACTAACCACTGGTGGTGCAGCTGGGATGTAGTAAATGCTTTCAGGACTGTCTTGTGACAAATGACGTGTCTAAATAGTTCATGAATCCCTTTTTCTTTTTTGAAAAACTATAGGGAGGTGGACATCAAAGAAAACATTAACTATGGGTAAGCAGGTCTTTGATTCCAGTACTGTTGCAATTGTAAGAAAATATTCCCTTTCCTTTCTCCATTGCACTCAAAACTTCCTAGGCCACAGACCGCTGTCCCGTCAGGCGTGGTGGGCGCTTGATGAACTGAACGGAGGTATTTGATTTTTGGGGTGACACCAAGTATTTGCCTAAGGCTTTAAGCTCTGAATTATCTAAATGCACAGCAGTGACGCTTGTTTAAATGAGTAAAAAGTCCACAATTATAGGAAACGAATGGGGAGATTTAGATTTGAGGCTGTCTTGAAAAGGAAAGAGTTACCTTTTTGGTATAGCTTGAGAGGTTTTTTGTGTCTCTTTCGACACCTGATGTCACTAAATCCAGGCTGTTGTCTGGTTGGCATCAGGAGTTTGCTGAATTAAGCATCAGTATTCAAGATTCCCTGGTGCTCTTCCCCTTGGCTTATCGTTTCAGACAAAAATAGAAATCTTAAGCCATTTAAAAGCACCAAAAGAAATACAGCTGCTTGACTTGCAGGGCAGCACTTAACGTCTTTGGTTTAGATTATTTGGCACTTCTTAAAATGCAGAAGTGGACCCTTTATTCCTCTTACTTATGAATCAGAGTCTCGTTACGGATAATCTGGAAGTTGGGAGCACTTGTTTTCTGATCTTAGTTCTGCCACTGACTCCTCTGTGGCCCTGGAAGTTTCTCGTTTCCTGTACCCACCTCCCCATCTTTACAGTGGATCTGATATTTTCCCTCCAGGTGGCTGGCAGGGCTTGGCTGTTGTTGAGTACATGAATTAAAAACATCAGATAATGTTGGTGGAAATCATCAAATGGAGGAAACGTTGCAGATTTAAGGAGGGTGGGTTTCAAATCGTTTTCCTCCCCAAAAGTAATGACAGTTTTGCAGTTGAGCAGGGTGTGCCGCGTGCTTGCCAGTTCGTTCGTGTGCTGGAGGGCCAGCACCTCTTTTCCACTGGAGAAGATCAGCTGGTGCTGTGGGTGCCTTCATTGCACGGGGTAACTCCAGGCGTAGGGGCAGAGCCTCGCTGGCCTGCCCCCGAAGCTTGGCTTCTCCCAGTGGAAAGCTCAGCAACAGCTCGTGTCCTGCGCTGGTGGCACTGGGATGCACCTGGCACCTCCGGAGGCAGGGAGATCACCGCCCGTTCCGCTTCTGACGTGAGGGTGCTTGAGGGTAGCTCTGTGTGCATGGGCAGAAAACGCAGCTCTGAATCAATGAGGCAAAACGTGTTCCGTTACGTTCGCGTACGTTTTGGAGTGCCTGCAAAAAAGCAAATGGTGTTTCTGCGTTTTTACCGCATTGATTTGAAGGCTGAATTTGGTTCAGAGTGTTTCTCGTGTTGTGTTTATCGAGAAAGGTTTGTGCTTTTCTCTGATTAGCTTCACTTTTTTATAAAGACTGTTTCTGTCTGGGATATGTAGAAAATAAACCACTTTGTGCGGTCAGACTCCCTTGAACGTGTTTTTCCTTGTCAGTGCACAGTGACTAAGACCTGACCTAGAACACGTAGCGTTTCTGTGCAGCGACAAGGTGATATTTCCCTTTCTAACCTTCCCTGTTTTTCATTGTAGGCTTGATCCCTACACAGATCCTTATTATGACTATGAAATAGAACGGTTCTGGCGTGGTGGGCAGTATGAGAATTTCAGGGTTCAATATACAGACCCAGATCCGTACCGTAACTACAGAGTAAGTAAGGTAATGCCCCTTTTGTGCTTTTCCTTTCAGCTTTCTTCCAGGTCCTTCTGGTGCCTGTCCTGCCTCCAGTGCGGTGGTTGCAACGGGACTTTTCATCTATGTTCAAGAAGCTTCATCTTACAGACAGTTAAATCTGAATTACTGCACAGAACGCATGCTAGGTGCAGGGGTGGGAGGATGTTCTCTTTCAGCGTGATGAAGGCAGAAGCGTGTCTGGGGTGGGAAGATGGTTCCCCTTCAAGTGCCCTGGCTGCTCCTCTGCACCCCAGGCAGCTGTGCAGCGCTAGTGGCCGCATCTGCATCCGTTCCTGGGGATGTTGGAGAGGGAGGGAGTTTCCAGGAAATAACCCGTGCTTTGTGTGCGGACGGAGGCTCCGGCACGACTGTCCACCACTGGTGGAGCTGCACGTTGGTTGATGGAGTCAGACAAGGAAAGCATCCAGCCAGCTGCTACAATCCCAGATGCAGCTGCTTGGCCTTGCCCTGCTGTAAGGTGTGGAGCTCGGTGGAAGTAAGGCTGTGAGCCCTTTCCCTCCGCTTCCTTTTGCCCTCGTGCAAACTGTTGTGCCCCAAGAGGAGTGGCAAAAATTCTGAGTCCCGTGGGGAGCTTTTCGCTGGTCTTTGTCACATCCTTTGACAAGTGGCTTTCCTTGTGCTGCAAGACCTCGCTGTTCTGCAGAAGCAGTGCATAAACAGGAGCCTGTCCTCACTATTGTTACACCGTCCATTATTTTCATGGTGCTTGCAAAGTTAATTAGCTTGTTACAGAATCACAGAATGGTAGGGGTTGGAAGGGACCTCTGTGGGTCATCTAGTCCAACCCTCCTGCCGAAGCAGGGTCACCTACAGCAGGCTGCACAGGACCTTGAAAAAAAACATGATTAGCAATGAGAGTAAATACTTGTGAACATCAATATGTTTGTTTAATAAGCCAAATTAATCTTTGACTGTCGTCTTTGAAAATTACAGCTGTGATGAACATGATGCGGTGTTTTGTTCCTCTCCACTTGCTGCCTGCTCGGCAGACAGCGCTGGCCAGCAGGCTCCGGGGTGCTGAGCTCGGTGCTGAGCTCGGTGCTTTGCCCTAAGATGGGAGGGCGCGTGTGGCTGCTCGTGCTCCAGGACTGTGAAACCCGCCTGCCCGCTTCGTTAGGAAACCCTACCGCAGTGTCACGACGATTTCTCTTTTTCTTTTCAAAGGAAAGAGAGCGAGAACGAGAGGGAAAGAGAGAACAGACAACGAGAAAGGGAACGCGAGAGGGAGCGAGAGCGGGAACGGGAGCGTCGCCAGCGGGAGCGAGAACGAGAAAGGGAACGGGAGCGTGACAAGGAACGCCAGCGGCGGAAGGAAGAGTGGGAACGCGAGAGAGAACGAGTGAAGAGAGATGAAAAAGACAGGCAGCACAGGGACCGGGACAGGGACCGAGACCGGGACAGGGACAGGGAACGTGAGAAGGAGAAAGAAAAACCAAAGCCCCGGTCCCCTCTGCTACCAAGGTAAGCGTTTGCTGGAATTCAGGCTTGGCATTTTACCTGGCGTTGTTTTAGCTGCAGATCGTGAACCAGGCTCACGCTGATCGGGGTGGAGAAGATCTCTGTTGTCCTCAACTCTTTGAGCAGAGCGGTAGCTTCAAGAGGAAGGCAACGCTTTAAACGAGTCTTGCTGTCCACTAAGTGGAGCTAAAACATCAGCAAGCACCCGGCTCTGGAAGGAGCAGAGCCTCTGGCCTGTGGGTATGGAGACGTTCAGCTCGTCCCCTTCCCCTGAGGCTTGAGGACGCCTTGGGAGGTTGGCAGAGTCCCCAGTGCTGAGAGAGTCCTGCGGGTGGTGGTGACTCCCTTTGAAGCCTGGACAAATGTCCTTTGAGAAGAACCAGGGCTGGTTTGGGAGTTTGTGGATAGCAAAAATATTTATTAAGTAAATTATTTATTAAGCAAAGTATTTATTAAGTAAAACTCCTAAAAGAGGCTAGAAAACATACAGGCGTTGTGTGCCTGGAAATGAGTCCCTGCTAGGTGTTAATGGTGCAATTGCAGTGTCGAGGCAGGTTTTTCGCCTCTGCTGATTTTTTTTCTTTCCCCCCCCCTAAAAATGCTGGTTCTGACCTGTGTGAAAGAGAAAATTGAACCAGACAGACTAGAAGTCTAAGAATTTCAAAAGCAAACCCGATTTTCTTACTCCGTCGATGACTGAAGTACCGTGGCTGACCAGCGTACTGCGTATTGGGCATATTTGTAAAGCACTGTCTAAATATCACAGCTGAATATAGAACTTAGGGGAATTTCTAATGTCACAACGTCTTTCGGTTCAGAATTGGAGAAAAGTATCAAATTGCTTGCTGAAGGACGTCTCTGGGAAAGCTGATGAGCAGTGTTGGTGTCGTGGAAACGAGTGGCAGACAGGGTCTCCTGACAGCCTGTCGAGGGACGTGGGGACGCGCGAGCAGATGTATGTGCCTGTTGGGCCAAAGAGGGGTGCAGAGGGGCTGTTTCCCGAGAGATGTCGGAGCTTCTCCTTCTGCCTGATGTCTGTGTTGTTTCTCGAGCACTAGAGGAAGGTGCGAAACATCTGGAGTGTGAGGAAGAGTGTGTTTTGACGAAGAACAGGGCTAAGGCGACGTGGAACGAGGTGCCACGTGGAATTATGTGGTTTCAGGTGGGAGCGGGGTTTAGCCTTGAATCTGACCCAGAGTTTTTATTTGCCTGACTAGAAGGAAAGCTGCTTTTTGATGATGGCCCAGTTTTCCAAGAAGTCATCACTGTTTCAGAACAGTTTGAAGGTGTCTTGTGAGTGCTGTGGTGCGGGAGCAGTGTCAATAGGAATACATTTGATTATGTGCTACGTTTAATTATAATCTTCACTTACCACCGTAATTTGTGCACCTTAATTACCACATTTGCTGTTGGTTTGTGCTCTCGTTGGGTTAGTGATGGACAAGATCTTGCTGTCCAGAACCACGCAATGATGATGACGGTGATGAAAGTGACATCAGCTGGTTGGCAGCTCGGGGTGTTGGTCATGAAGAGTCACGGTGACCAGGATCACGGCGCGCAAGGCTGGGGCTGCTGGTTGCTCCTTCCCGTGGCCCTCACGCTGGGTCATGGGCAGGGCTTTGTGGGAGAGCTTTCGCTATTAGTGCTGCCCAGGGTTTGCTGGGTGGGAGCGATGGCCGTGTTCGCCCATCTTGGATTCATCTCGCCCTGTGTACCCATCTGTGGGAGATGGGATTCAGTGTCCGTGACGTTACGTGCTTCCTGGATACCGGTTCCCTGCTTCCCTCCCGTGCCCTGTCTCTGACATAAGCACCGCTTAAGGGAGCTTTGGATGCCTCTCAGATCTCCAGAAGAGGCTTCTTAAGATGAGTCTTGGTAAATTAAAATTAGTCCTTGATACGCCTCATTGCTTTTGAAGTCCGCTGTTCTTTCTAGAAGCGGATCGTAGAGAATCTGCTGTTGGAAATGTCCCCAGCCTCGTCCTGTAACCCAACCGCTGACAACTGTAGGGCTGGGCAGAGAGCTGGGACAGAGGGACAGCGAGCAGGGCTTGCTTTTGGCTTCGCTTGTGCGGGGCTTGGAAAGCTGGTGGCAAGAAGCGTCTGTAATTTTTATATTGAATAGGGAGCTAGTACTGAGTGAAAAGCTTTAAATTCTCAAAAAGAAAAAACAAATCTTAGGTCAGCACCCACACTCAGCATCTCCTCTTGGAGTGGAGTTGGTGGGACCACTCGCCAGTAAACCCAAAAGCCCAGCGTTGCTGAGGGCACTGTCCAAGGGCTCCGAATGGGGCTTCAGTTCCCGCTGCTGAAGCCCCTGTCAACGTCACCGCTCTTACTACAGCATTTACAGGTGTTTGGATGTTTGCAGAGAAAACAACACTGCAGAAAAAGCTTCTTAACAAAGTGAAGGCGTAATTCAACTTCTTTTCCTGTGGAGGAGACGTCCCTCGCCCGGCCGCTTGCGTTTCCCTGCGCTGCCTTCCCCGCAGGTCTCCGCCGCGCTCTGGGCAGTCGCGTTTCGCCCCGCGTAACCCTTTTGACGGGCTCCAGACTTCCTCGTGGCAGCGCGGCGGTTCGAGCCGTCTCACCTTTTCCCCAGATACCTTCGTGCCGTGCTGCAGAGAGGGTCAGGTTTGGCACCTCGGGATTAAACGGCTCCCCGAGTTTAACGTGTGAAACGCTCGTGATTGCCGCGCGTTTGCCGGGCAGCAGGATGCACGGTAGTGGCGTAGCGCTCACCTGCGGGTCTGTTTATGGACTCTGGGCTTTCCCTAATTGCTGGATCCCAGTTTTTGGCAAATCTTGCCTTCCCAGGAGTCGAGCGGCGATGGGGGCCGGCGCGCGCCGGGCTGCAGGCAGCTGCCCGTTAACATTCCCGCACCAAAGGCAGCGCCGGAGCCCACGCAGCCCTGCGCTTCCCTTGCTAATGAGCTGGGGAGGTTGGAAAACTGCTCCACGGGGGTTGTGCAACCTACGAGGAGCTTTGCCAGAGGCAGAGCTGAGGGTGTCTGTAATTACAGGCAGATGCCGGTCTGTCCGTCTGCGTACGAGCTCCCGTAAGTAGAGGCCGGGGGGGGGAGAGAACTGTGATATACAGAGCGCAGAGTCAAAAGGGATGAAATAAAACTCAAAAAGCTGATAGGGACATGAAAACAAACTCCTTTTCCATGATATTGAAAGCAGGAAGGTTTAATCTGATTTCTAAACAGTGGAGCAGTTAAGGCTAATAACGTAGAGAAGCCGGAGGACTTCCCGGCATCACTGGTTGCTGCAGCTGAGCAGGATTAGAATTTAACAGCAAGCAAAGACTGTAAACCCTAACGGACTCAGTGGCAAATGTTTCTTCTGGAACCTTTTAAATGGAGAGGCTGGAGTGTTTGGGCTTGAAGTAGGGTTGTCACATGTGGGTTGGACTTTTTTTGAAGCAGTGTGCGATTGCCGCTTCGTGCTTTGGGTTTGTTTTTTTTTCCCCCAGGCTTCAGATGAGCACTCCAAGAAGTTTATAATCTGAGATTGTAAAATAGTTCCTCCCCCTCCTCCTCCTCCCTCTTCAGGCATTGAACACTTCAGCAAGCCAGGACTCTTTATGATCAGTGAGAGGGAGAACTTGGCTGGCTGTCCTTGCGCTTCCCATCTCCAGAACGAGTTCTGGTGCCCCAGGCTGGGACTGATTTTGCTGAGTGCAAAATTTCTGCTTTATGTTTCTGTCTTGCCAGTGTAGCTCACTGTTGTGCAAATCATTTCAGGGATAAAGAAGTGGCATGAAATATGTAATCTGAAGAAACTCGGAGCAGTGCAAGACGTTCTTACCTTTAGCTGTGAGCAAAAGCCCTACACACAGAACCAGTAATTTGCTTTAATCCTTCTGTCGGTGCCCTGGTCTTTCTCCCACCCTCACCCAAGCGAACCCGACTGTTTCAGGAGCACGTTAAGCGATGCAGTTAGTGTCGTGGGAGCTGGTAGCCATTGTATTTCCAAAGCACTGAGGGACACCGAGGAGCTGGACCCACTGGCTTTTTTATCACCGCCCCTTTGGCTGGGGTGGCACTAGGTGTTGCCCACCAAGCGGCGACAAAGAAGAGGAAGCAATCCTGACCTCAAGTCTGACCTTAAAGTTATTTCCTTGCAGACAAGTTTGGTCTGAGCCCATGATACGGACCCTAGAATGAGTGGGGTGCTGGTGCCAAGTGGGGTGAGGAGGAGGTGGTGGCTGTTGTCCTCGGAGATGTCCCGGAGTCTGGGCAGGAGGTGACAGCAGCTCCAAAGCTGCCGGGAAGGAGCAGTGTCCTGGTGAACCGTCTTGTGATTATGGCACGCACAACAGTTCTTTGGAAGGAAGTTTTCTTCAGCTGGGCTAAAGACTTATCGATGGAGTGCACTTACGCAGCCATTAAAAAATAAAAATAACACCTGCAAATAAGGACACTGTAAATTTTAAAGCAATGTCAGAAAGGGCGTCAGGGATAAAGAAGTGGCATGAAATATGTAATCTGAAGAAACTCGGAGCAGTGCAAGACGTTCTTACCTTTAGCTGTGAGCAAAAGCCCTACACACAGAACCAGTAATTTGCTTTAATCCTTCTGTCGGTGCCCTGGTCTTTCTCCCACCCTCACCCAAGCGAACCCGACTGTTTCAGGAGCACGTTAAGCGATGCAGTTAGTGTCGTGGGAGCTGGTAGCCATTGTATTTCCAAAGCACTGAGGGACACCGAGGAGCTGGACCCACTGGCGAGGGCAGCAGGCTCGGTATCACCGCCCCTTTGGCTGGGGTAGCACTAGGTGGTTGCCCACCAAGCGGGGATGAAGAAGAGGAAGCGATCCTGACCTCAAGTCTGACCTAAAACTTATTTCCATGCGTGTGAGTTTGGTCTGAGCCCATGATACGGACCCTCGAATCAGTGGGGCACCGGTGCCAAGTGGGGTGAGGAGGAGGTGGTGGCTGTTGTCCTCGGAGATGTCCCGGAGTCTGGGCAGGAGGTGACAGCAGCTCCAAAGCTGCCGG